AAAATAATACACACACACACACACACATATATATATATATACACATTGCAGTGCTTTTTTCTTGAAAAAATTCGTTTTTGGTTTCTAAAAAACACCAAATAAAAATAATCTCAAAGGATCCTTTGAAATATTTTCTGGTTTTTCTTTCATAATATCAGTGCTTTAACTATTAGTGGAGCATTATTAAATATTTGGTTTCAAGTACTTCACAATGGTAATGAGGCCACACTTCTTTAGCTTGAGTAAGGCTCCTGTCATTGTGAGTCATGGATGAGTGGTACTGGTAAACCTGTAAGAATACAGCTTATCTACAGTCTGTATGCCAACCGTGATTAGATCCTCACTAAAATGCAGGGCTTAAATCTTCAAAAATGTTTGAGAAAAAACTTGAAATAATTAATACTGGTACAGACTGAGAATCTTTCTCATTTTTTGTGTCCCATTTTTGCTTGTCTGGACAGTAAACCACTTTAATCTTAACATCCTTCTCTCATTTTTAATTTTAACTGTGTAGTAGATGACTAATTGCACTAATATGAACCAGTTTTACTGTCTGGTGTAATTATAAATTTGCATTAATATGAATATGGTTTATACTGTATGACAGTTTGATATAGTGCACTGCTCTATCCGATTCTATGGATTCACAAGTGAAAGCAACTCAAATGACACTAACAAGGGGCACTGGTATAACCTAGATTTTACTCAACTAGTCTTACAAGGTTTTTAACTGCTTGCGAGTCCTACAAGATGGAGTGCTACTGCCTTTATCTGAGCTCAAATGAATTGTGGACTGAAAATGATGCACAAGCGACCAAGGCTTTTCTCCGTTGTTGGCTCACAAGATGCACTGATATAAAAAAACTTTATGGACTGATATGTTTACAAGAACAATGGTGTAGTGTAACAGCCCAAGTTTCTACTAAAAGGCTGTCAGGAATGCACTAACACAAAATACATTTCATTAAAACATTAGCATACATGATTACGTAGAAGTGAACAAATATAGAAATTTCTACTAACTACAATTTCTTCATTGAATTGATGATCGCACAAGGAACTACTGCTATCACCAGGTTACCGAAACATATACAATAACTACCCTATTAAGATGCTATTGTTTGTTTGGTTGTTATAAATTTCGCGCAAAGCTACACGAGGGCTATCTGCATTAGCTGTCCCTAATTTAGCAGTGTAAGACTAAAGGAAGGCAGCTAGTCATCACCACCCACCTCCAACT